ATGATGTTTCTCTCTCATTGATGTTTCTATCCCCCTCCCTCCCTCTCTCTCTCTAAAAATCAATAAAAACATTAAAAAAAACCAACCCTGGGACAGAGTTTGCATGAGCAGCAGCGAGGCCAGACGCGCTCCGGCCCGTCCCTGCTGCAGCCCCAGAGGTGGGCTGTGTCCGATGCTCTTCGCACTATTTGAAGCAGAAACGCTGTTTTCCTGGAAGTGGGAGCTTGGGCTGGACAAAGGCGCTGAAATGCCAAGCAGGGTGTGTTCTCCACCCAAATGCAAGGACGAGAAGCCAGCTCAGGAGCAGGAGCCATGTGAAAGCCTTCCTCTGCAGTTGCCCTTAAACTAGACTTCTCAGGGGTACCTGGGCTTCGGAGCAGGAAATTAGCCTTCCCAGCCACACAGCCAGTACCTCCCGGAGACACCTGGGTGCCCTTCCCAAGCACAGTCACGAGGCAACGCCACGCGGGACATGCCTGCCGGTCCTTCCCGACAGCGGCCGTGGGCGGGAGGAGCTCACAGGAGACAGTGCATCGCAAGGTCGACCAGAAGTTCCATCAAGACAGTCTCGCAGCCCGGCCGCCTTCTCGGAGAAGTAGCGACTTCAATGCAGTACCGGCATCTGACGTTGCAGATACAGTTTCATTTCCAAGTGACAATTAAAGTTCTTCTGCAGGAACGAGCAGCAGGGGCCGGGCACACCTGGCGGGCGAGGCCGGCGGTCCTGAGCAGCCCGAGGCTGTCCCGGGGAAACAGGAGACCGCGCAGCTGGCGCGCGGCCGTGTTTACAAAGCACTTACACGGCTCTATTTCAGCTCCCCAGGGCCCGGCATCAATGGGGCTTTGAGAGGGCCTCTCAGATACACCGAGTCAGCGTCTGCAGGGCCGGGGTCGGAGCGGAGCTCTCGCTTTCTGAGGCTCCGCAGAGCGACTGTAAAATCGGCACTTGACCCTCTCACCCGCGGGTGCAGCGCCAAGGACGCCTGTGGTCGGCCCTGAAACCGATGTACAAACACAGCAGCCTGGGGTCTCCCCATGTCTGACCACGGAGTCCATGCGTGGCCCCGGGAGCAACACGACTGCTCTCAGCAGCTGAACCTGCCTCGGGGGAGACCACCCCCGACCGAACACGCCGTCACTGAAAGTGCATCCCGTCTGGAATCGAGTCAGAGCCCTGTGGCCCTGGGCCAGGGCTTGTGAGTGCGGGGGACTGCCAGCGCCCTCGGGGCAACCAGCTGGGTTTGTTCAAGCGTCTTCCCTTCCAAGTCTATTTACATGAACTTCCCTTTCATCGTCAACGTGCGTTTCATCACAAGACGGGGCGCGGCCGCCACACCCCACGCTCCACAAACGCGGCTCTGCAAAACATGTGTGCTCGGCGCTGAGCGGAAAGACACATTCTCCTGCGTCTCGTTCGGGCATGAAAGACCGAGGGACACGAAACAGAGCGTGTCCGCTTCAAATGCATGACGTGGCATATCTCTGTCACAGTGAGAGTATGAAAAATGGAAAAGCCAAAAGGAAAGGACTTCTGCTAACTAAGACACAACTAAAGGGGAAAACCTGTGAGAGGAAAATATGTAAATTTAACCGCAGAAAGGTCTTAACTTGACGGGAACTGTGAAATACAGACCATTCTCTGGGGATCTGAGCTGTTGGAACAGTAGCCAACGTGACTTAACTTAATGACATAACTGTTGTTTATTAAAAATATAATCTAGCCCGGCCGGCGGGGCTATGTGATTGGTTGAGCATCGACCTAGGACCAGGAGGTCAGGGTTCAATTCCCAGTTAGGGCACAGGCCCGGGTTGTGGGCTCGATCCCCAGCGTGGGGCGTGCAGGAGGCAGCCGACCCGTGATTCTGTCTCATCATTGATGTTTCCATCGCTCTCTCCTTCTCCCTTCCTCTCTGCAATCCATCAAACACACACACACACACACACACATACATATACACACATATGTGTGTGTGTATATACGTACATGTACCATCTATATAATATGTTCTTACGCTGAACCCCATTATCACTTAGCTGCTCCTCGAGTCACAGGATCTCCATCCACCACTGAACACAGTGTTCATGCCTCGCCCAGGCTTTATCACGGGCTTTGGTAAGAGATGTGTTTAAGCCACAGGCGCTGCTCCAGGCACCTGGCGGAATATATGTGCCTATGCAGGGAGCGTGCCCTGCTTTCTCTATGTCTGAGACAGCTCCCACACACGCATCCCCTTGTCTGCCTTCAGCCACACTCTGCACATGGCTCTGCGACCAAGACACTCAGGACACATGCATGTGCTGAGCTGCATCTGAGTGAGGGGTCAGTGAGCAGCACGCTGAACCCACAGCCGCCAGGGCCTCCTGTGGGCACGCACTTCCTGCCCACAACTGGCTCTGAGCCCGGTGGCGAGCTCTGACCACACCGGTCACACGCGGAGGCTCGAGATGTGCCTGTGCTGTTGGGCGTGTCACCCGTGCTCAGGCACAGCCAGTGCAGAGACCCTGCCCAGAAGACCCATTCACCTAGAGGACGGGGACAGAAGCAGACCTGTGCCCAGCCAAGCCCAGACCAGACCGACCAACCACATCAGCACACAGGCATGGACAGGAATAAGCATGATTTTAAGCCATGGAGTTTGGGGAGGCTTGTTCACAGCACAATAGTAAAAGATAGCTAATCCCACTTTTTAGAATGAAGAAACACAAAAAATAGCTAACTATCTAATCAATTAAAATGTTTTACAAATTTTGATCTATGTAAAGTGTGTGTTATTAGAGAAAAAAATATAGATATCACCATCATCACATCACCATCACCATCACCATCACCATCGTCACCATCACCATCACCATCATCATCATCATCATCACCGTCACCATCACCACCATCACCATCATCACATCCTCACCATCACCACCATCATCTCCATCACCATCATCACATCCTCACCATCACCACCATCATCTCCATCACCATCATCACATCCTCACCATCACCACCATCATCTCCATCACCATCATCACATCCTCACCATCACCACCATCATCTCCATCACCATCATCACATCCTCACCATCACCACCATCATCTCCATCACCATCATCACATCCTCACCATCACCACCATCATCTCCATCACCATCATCACATCCTCACCATCACCACCATCATCTCCATCACCATCATCACATCCTCACCATCACCACCATCATCTCCATCACCATCATCACATCCTCACCATCACCACCATCATCTCCATCACCATCATCACATCCTCACCATCACCACCATCATCTCCATCACCATCATCACATCCTCACCATCACCACCATCATCTCCATCACCATCATCACATCCTCACCATCACCACCATCATCTCCATCACCATCATCACATCCTCACCATCACCACCATCATCTCCATCACCATCATCACATCCTCACCATCACCACCATCATCTCCATCACCATCATCACATCCTCACCATCACCACCATCATCTCCATCACCATCATCACATCCTCACCATCACCACCATCATCTCCATCACCATCATCACATCATCCCCATCACCATCACCATCATCACCATCACCGTCCCCGTCACCATCACCATCCCCTTCATCATCATCATCATCACCATTTCCATCACCACTGCCACTGCCACCTCAGCCGCGTGTAGCGCTGCACACATCCTTACTTCCTCTCTGGAGCAGCTTTGCGCTGCACAATCTGGGTGCCCACTTGGCAGTCTATGACTGTGTCAGCCCTTCCTGCACATGATTACAAACATGCTGACTCCTGTCACCTGGACGACTTCACAAAGGCCGGTGTGGGATGCTGGCATGATTTATGAGCTGGTCGGGCACTTGTAAATAATGTCTGATGTGGGGATTTCTGACAAGGATGCAGGCTGCCTTTTAAGCAGGAGGAGGAGGGCGAGGGAGGACCCGGGAGGGAGGCCTCTGTCACTGAAGCCAGCTGTGCCGGTACCTGGGGGAGCCGGCGTTCTGCTTTAGATTTGAGTCTTAATGCTGGGCAATGGGAACCATCTGCGCAGCCCGGCTCACTGGCTCCCCG